TAGTGTAATCAGTCAATCTATTTATACTTTGCATATAATAATCCCATTTAATTAATGAAAAGGATCACAGTATTGTTTAGGTCTATGTGTACTAAGTTTTATCGCTAAACCTAAGTTGTTTCAGTTAAACCTAAGCACTTAGCAGATCATTCTTTGTCCTATAAAGATACTTATTGCAAATAAAAACAGAAAGCATATTTATTTTTCCCAACTTACCATAGAGCACTGCTTCAGTCTTGTCAACCAAAGAAATTTTTTAATTAAAAGTAAAATTTCATATATTGACATTTCAACCAAAACAACAGAAATCTGAATTTTATTGTTGGGCAATGTCCTTGCAGGAAAACAAGTTATTGAAGTGGCTTCTGTTAAACCAATACTTCAATGTCGATACAAATTGTATTATTTTATTGTATTGAAGCATAATTCTGATTGTTACAATATACATTTCATCTCGTCCATGATTTTATTCAATTGGCTAAATAGCACTTAAAGGTGTTTTTGTTTAAATTCCTTTATGAAAAACCGTAAGGACATTCGAGCATAAAAAACAATCTTATCAACCCTCGAAATATATTGTACTTTAAATTCAATTTTTACTTGCATATAAAAAAAAAATTTTTATTTCTATTACAATACAATAACGTAATTCATAGTTTATTTGGGGTGGTGCTGAGCATTCGAATACGATCCTTTGCATTTGGTCCTGATTTTTTATCTATGAATGTCATACGATCGGTAGCAATCAGTGGGTGTGAGCGTGCCAACATATGCTATACTTTATCCGTTATTTTAGCAGATATAAAACGGGTTAGAATATTTTACAAAAACATCTGTTCTCTTGGATTACAGTTGCATATCACAGTGACGCGATCTACTCTTTTAGAATCATATTAGCAAAATAATAATATATGAAGTTTAAAGCACTAATGCATTAAATAAATAATTAATGTATATTAGTTTATTAATTGAACTTCTTATTAATTGATCGAAGCTTTTCTTTAAAAGATATGAAAGTATATTAATTATAATATATTTTTATATATAGAGAGTATTCTCGATTGTAGATATGATAATAGTTGTCATGCCAGTAATGCTTATTCTCAGTTTCACGTGAAATTTAATAATTTCCAAAATTAATGTGTAGTCAGGTTTTAGATTTTATAGTCAGGCAATATAACTATCATCATCGATAACTATGGTTTGGAAAGTGAGATACCAAACTATGTTTATATATCTGTTCAGTAAGGTTTGCCGATTCATCATGAATCGTTTGACGTTGGAAAAACATTTCCAAATGGTGGAAATTTTATGAAGTCCATAGTATCTAGTGATAAAGCTCATTTTTCATCATATGACTACGTCAATAAGCAAAATTGCAGTATATGAAACGAAGATAATCTTCAAGCCGTTAACGAATCGCCATTAGAACCATAAAAATTGAAGGTTTGAAATGATGCCATTAACCGTCGCCGTTACGGTAAATGGCGAGCGCTTTCGAACCATGTTGATGAAATTTTTATTTCCAAAAATTGATTAGATAAACATCGACGACATTTGGTATTTGGTTCCAATAAGACGGCACAGTTAGCCATACATTGCACTTAACAATCGATTTATTGTGAAATTAATTTACGTTAAAAAGATCTGCAGATAGAATTTGTATGACTAGTATGAAAAATCTTATTTACACCTGTGAAGTTTGAATTAACTTAATAATGTACAGAACAGAATATAACCATCCCAAATATCTCCAAAGATTGTGCCACACTTAATCATTTTTCCTACTCATAGTTCCTTTAATACTAATGAGAATTATAAAAAATTCAACAAATATGAATTATGAAATAAACTTATGTTGATACTAGTCGTATAAGTTATTATAATTCTCATTAAGTATCAAATATTATTTGTATGTTATATAAGAAAATAATTGATAATGGTTATAATATTATTTACTTATGTTAATATAGTGATTTGAAACTTTGTATTCATTAAAATAAATTTCATATCTTTTCAGTTACATGTTATTGCAATTTAAAGCAAACTTTGTTTGGGTATTTTTTTTTTTGTATCTGGTTCTAGTCTATTAATGAAAGCACATTTTACATTAAAAGTAAATGAAAAACGAGGAAAACACTTGTGGGGTAACATGTAACTTGATCCGAGGAGTTAAATATTTCATTTGCAAAATGTGGATCCATTACCACCCAACAGACAACGGTCAGTAGTTGAAACTTTATGTTTCTCCGTGCGGTGGAAACGATGAAGAACGTCGGAATGGTTTTGTCGTTAAACTAATGAGCAATCACTATGGATTCAAATTCTAAGATATGAAAAGAAATTATATTTAGCTGAAAGTAGATTATCAAGGCAATTCTGGCGACGAACTTTCGGCTCACTACATCCAAAAATCTTGCGAAAGATAGTTTAAAAGATCTTTTGTATTCTAGCAGCGGTCTTTCTCCAGACTGAGAGCTCTTTACGGTCTTTCAAAGTAAGTTCTCATGTAGCTAAAAAAAAAAACAAACATTTAACAATTTGAAAAATAATTGTTTTAAATAAATGATTTAATCAGATTTTAATCCTTCTTTAATTTAATTGTAATATAAGATAGCAATTGTTATTATGGTGAAGTCATCACAAAATTGTTTGGACCAAGTACACATTAAAATTTCGTTTGTCGAAATTTTCTGTGTCGTCTGGTTTTCAATAGAAACTTTAAAACTTTGTTAAATGAATTATATTTAGCTTAATATAAATGTCAACTGTTTGACTGCAGAAAGCCGGAATAACAAATCATAAATTGCTTCTTCAATGATATCATCCTGACACTCCAATTAAATTTTTTACTGGGAAAACATGAGGGGCTATCAAGTGCGAATATATCAAAGGTGCTTGTCAGCAGATTCCCCCACATTCTTGTTACACTTCAGAGTTCACGTTTTTTGTAGTCTATTTTTGGGCAAAGTATCACGGCAACTTGTCGTAGATTTGTTATATATACCAGTTATTTTCGCTTTTGCCACTCTTGTTAGTCTAATAAGATGCTTAGCGGAAGAAACCGATACAACCATTAAGAATATTATTGATTTATCCAAAAGACTAGTATATTTAAAAACAAATGAGAACATTATTTACTTTAATAATTGATTACGACTTTCTTTAATGGCTAGTACCTTTCACGCTTATCTCTTAAGAAATTTCGAGCAATAGGTAGGCCTATATATTCCTTTTAACAGACGACCGTGTATAATATAATCGTAACTTTTTGTGTATAATATATAATAAACATTCTTTATATGGAGCCTTGAAACCACTTCTTTACATGACTCTCATTTATATTTATTAATAAAACTAATTAACGTAAAGTGGGCTACACCAATGAAATTAATTTCATTAGAAAATCATAACAACGATAATCCTATTATACTAATCCTATATTTCTAACAACGAAGTTAGGATAAGTTGATTTTAGTCTCTTTATAATATGGTTTGGTTGGTTTGCGTCTGTTGTTATCTATTTAGCCAACTGCTGATTTATATCCATGGAGAAATCATACATCCTTTTATTGTCCATATATCGCGTAGAGATATCCTACTCAACGAATGAGTAAACAGTACTTTGAATCGTCAAACGTTGTTCTTTTGTTAGCTATCAATGAATATTGCATCTACTTTCTCATGAGGAAATATTTTTCTAAAATTAAATCAGAATAATTTTTTGAAATCATTACGATGTCAGTTGTCTCTCGTTTCCTCAACTTGGTGACATATATAAAATTGTAACTATTTTTAATACTTTCCAGAATAATAGCCTCAGTTTAATAAAAACCATTCGGTATGAACAATGTCTAAACGACCATGTTTCAGTAAAGGATTCTAAATTCTAGCTGATTTCATTTTTTCTTAAATATTAATGTCTTTTAAAATCAATATAGCTATTTTTTACTATTATACTGTTCAAGTATCTATTTTTTCTGCCAAAACCCAATATATATTCAAATCTTTCATAGCGATTTCTCTTTGGATATTATAAAACATTTCATTTAATTACAATTTGTTGTTTAGGACTTTAATTAATACAATCCGAAAAATATGCTTTAACCGTATAATAGTTAAATTGACCTGATCATTTTGTTAGAGAGGTTTTAGCTCAATACCAATGCGCCGTGTAAGAATATCTTGACCTGAGATGAGTTGGTTAAATCAACCAAATTATTTTTCTGAGTGTAATACTACACTGTCATTTTCCGTCTTTATGCAGTCATAGAGTTATTTGGAAGATTTGTACTATAATAAATTGGCAGATTTGTGTATAGTTTATAGTTATAGTTTGTTATGATTAAACTTTTTGTAGCAATTTTCTTTTTCAATGTGTAATTCATCATGGATTTAAACTTCAAAAATTTTAAAAATAATGCATAGATTTTTTTTATTGTAATCGTCACGAGTTTTCTGTTAAATATTATGTAGCATAATTGATGTGCACTTCTTAATTGCCAAGAAAATATTCAAAATTTTTTTAACAAAATGCAAATTATTTGGATAAAATGAATTACAGGATACATTATAACACAACATAACCCGTATCAAAATCAGGTGTCATAATGTTGATATCCCGATTTGCTTTAAACTTAAGAAATAATTATCGAGCAGCCTTGCGAGTGTGGTCCTTTGAGTTGAATTCACTAATAACAGAACGTACAAAGCGTTTGCAATATATATTCAGAATTTACCGACGGTTTTATGAATATCAGCATTTTAAAGATATTTGTCACTCAGTTCATGGAAAAGTAAAGGATAAGAATTTTCGACGCAGAAATATATTATACGCTCTAGGGCTTACTCTATTGGCTACTATCGGTGTTTCCAACGAAAACGTCAACTGGAGAGATGTACGCCTAAGTGTAAAGAATTTTGGTTATTGTTCTAAGGATATCGAGTTTATTAACACCCTTTCCTCGAATATCAGGTGTCAGGATTGCGTAACGAAACGAATGAGATACTGCTATTGTTCACTTGGTAATGAAAAGTGTGTATCTGATTCTGGTACATTGTCAATTAAGAATTGTAACAATAATTTGGAAGTAAGATCTAGTGTCGAAGATGGGTCAGCAATGATCGAAGTTGCCGATGAAAATCATTGGCGACCATTTTTAAATAAGAACGAATTATCAATTTGGACACGAGATGAGTCAGGCAACAGGAACTCGTACAAGGTGTATGCAAGTTATGATGATATAAACGCCATGGATTTATTAAATGTACAAACTGATTTAGATTATCGAAAAGAATGGGATCAGACTGCCGTAAAATTAGATATCATTGAAACTGATCCAGAACATTACGCAAATTCTCATCTTATATATTGGGAGATGCAATGGCCAAAATTTTTTGCTAATCGTGATTATGTGTTCAGCCGTCGTTACGTTATAGATAGAGAACATAATATAATATTGATAGCAAATCGAGGTATTGAACATCCAGATTATCCCGAGAATAAATCTTTGATAAGAGTAAGGGATTATTGGAGTTATATGCTTATTATGCCCTATACACACTTTGATGAGCCAGGGGTACATTTTGTTTTGACTTATTTTGACGATCCTGGAATTTCCATACCGACAACATTACAGACTTGGGTTACTGAAAAACAAATGCCTGACTTTTTGAACCGAATGTATGAAGCGACAAAACGATACGGTAGCAGAATGTCTGTTCGAAACTTAAGAACCTTTAATCAATTCAGAATAACATATGCATACCAGGACAAGCTTGCAAAATTGAAAAAGTTATGGAAAGTGCCAACGCAAAGAAGCTCTACACCAAGAGATCTCGATAGAGATTCTTATACAGTAAGAAAGAAACCAAAAGCAATAGAAAAATAATTACGAAAAAACTAACTGAAAGCTAAAAATTTTCTAAAGTTAACTTATAAAATTAAAATTAAATCAAGTAATAGCTTTCATGATTTGGTACTTAGAAACTACTTGAAGAATAATAGGGCAGAAAAATTGGGAATGATTTTTGGAATATAAAGAATTATCGCTATTTATTAAAAATTTCAATTTATTTTGTTAATACAATTTTCTTTAAAATCATTTTTTGAAATAAAATAACTTGATATGTTACTACATTATTTTTTTTGTAATAAATATTACTTTCTATAGACCTAGCGAACACAATCTGCAAATACATATCTTTCTGAAGTCGACTGTCGTACAAGAACTGATATTATTTTAGATACATTGTAGTTATTACTATAAATTAAGTTATAAGTTCCAGATATAGCGTAAGTAGGCCACGAAATTTTTGTCCTAGGTGCTAAAATCAGATTACACCAATTCGTGCTGCCCAATTGAAAAAGTTATCATACGTTAATCTTCGTCAATGGCCGACAAAGAACAATTCCAAAATCCCGCGTACGCCCATCTGACAACGACTTTCAGTAAGAACAGCAACTTTTTCTGTTACACTATGTAACAATACGTATATAACTTTGTTGTCGATATTTTTACAAGTTGACAATATTTGTATGAAAATCACCACTAGTCGTTTCTTTCATCAAGCTTACAACTTATATCTTGTAAATTATATAACTTATTATTTATATCTCTCGATATTTAGATGATGAAAATACATTGGCATCTAGTGTTGGGAAAAGTTGCAAATATAAATGAATCTACTATAATTTGAATCGAATGTTCAAATCGACGTGTCAGAGAAATCTGAATTGTGCTTATGCCAATACTGATATCGAAGGTTCTATCAAATGCGCCTATGTCTCATAAATGTCCATAACCAACCAAATAAATGTTCGGTAACCCAAGTGGAGTTGCCTTTATACTGAATGCCTCGTAATATAATCATTCATAAAACACTCTACAAGAGATATAGACCATTGAAATAGTTTTGATAATTAAAAAAGTGTCTGTAAGAATATTATATTTATACTTCTTTTTCCTGAAAGTCCTCATTCACAACAAGCGTATATATTCTTAGGGTAATCATTCCTTTGTCATTTATTAAAACACTGTGAGACACAATTCTTATGTTTTAAAATATAGAAGTCGAGTCGATAAACAAAAAATATTTCCATATCCGTAAGCTTATGGGGTACTCATATTGTACAAATAATTACTTTTTTTCGTATGTATTGAACTCAGATATGAGATATTTATCAAAGCGTTTCTAAATACAATTCTTTTGGTTACAATATTGAAGAAGAGGTTTACAAATGAAAGGATTTATATATACCTAAATCTGTTGGACATACAACCATAATAAATAACAACTTTTAAATTATTGAATAGTTCATTCATTGAATGTACCTTGCAATAAACTCTCTAGTACACTTAAGAGAACACTATTACGAAGTTATACATAACAATCAAATTTAGGCAATTTCTTTGAAAATGATAACTATTCAATGGTTTATACGCTACAAATATAGTATCAATGCAGTGATATATGTATTGCAAATCAATATTGTTTACTCTTAAGACTTAAATATTGTTCGTAAAAAAGAAGATTATAAAATAAATAAAATAAAACATTAAATTAAAAAATTTATAATAGTTTAATAAATTTATCTACTTTAGAAATATATTTATATGCAATGAAAGTAAAAATCTGATCCATACTAATAATATCTTAATATAGATAAATGGTCACAATTAAAAATTTTATTAAATATATTTAAAGCTTTTATCGATACTTAATTAAAATTTATAGCAACACTACGTTTCTTCCATTTATCAATTTTTCTTCTTTAATATTAAAATTAATAGCAACTTTTCGATACATTTTTTTATTAGTTTGCTCGTCAAGTTTCTCGTCTTTTTTTTCATAGTTCTGAAAACTCAAGCTCTTGTGATAGATAGCTACTAAAGCTTCAATGTTCATTTTTTTATCATCATCACCATAAAATAAAAACAATATAATTTTATAATAATGACTCCAATTAAGCCATCATTTTAGTGGACAAGTAAGTTGGCTGCTCTTCTCTCCTCCTTTACTCTGTTTAACGGATATTCAATTCAGTGTCTAACATGGTAGCGGACATGTTTAATCAAATACGTGACTTGGTTTCAGTTTCAATGAAGTTCATTCATTACCTTAAGACGATGGTGCCTATTCGCCTAAATAGCAACAAAGACTAAGGCTGTTTTTATAGAATACGACCGCTTTTATAGAATAATGTCGTCATTATGTTACTATCGTGAAACTTACTGATATAACACACAACTAAATTACTTCTTTAAAAAACTCTACAAATATAGAATTCATATCAATACTTTATATAGTGTTATTAGCTATATATAGTGGTGAATATGTTTCTTGTATGAAATTAGTTATTATTAGAATATTAGTTAAGTAATACAACAAAAACATATAGCTTAATTCTGTAAAGAATAATCCTTTGATAATGTCAATTTTAATACTTAAATTTGATTAAAATCCAAGACAACTAGCTGTCACTATGCTAGATTTTTATAAACTGACTTCTTTATTTTAGAAGATGATGCTCAAAGAGAAAGAGACTCATTTTTACTATAGCTACAGTAGGTTCTGGAGCTCTATATACCAATTTTCGATCCTTAAAAACGTTAAGTAACCCATCCTAATTGTTTTTTGTTTGACGTATAAATCTGAGAGCTATCGCAGGATGATGAGATTTCATTGGGATTGTTCGAATAAAAAGTTTAACAAATAATAATCTAGCGTTTTACTTAGTTTTTCATTCCATAATTATGGAAGATAATATTCCATTGAATTAATTAATAAAATAAAGGTCCAAAGCAGAATAAAAATTAAACATAAAGATCACACATAAGGCCTGCAAAGAACGATTTTAGAAGAAGTAGTCACAAAAATTATAAATAACAATTTTTTAAACATTCTTTGCACATACCTACATTGAATAAAATTAATATTTTTTATTATGATTTTGGAATGTTGTAAGGAATTCAATTTAACCAACAAGACATTGTGCTTGTCAACTATAATGTAGTTTATTTACTTAAAAAAAATAAACCAGAATTGAAAACCTGATTGTTTTTTATACATACTAATTTGTATAGTACACAGACAAATGGGTAGTTAATCGATTAATATCGATTAACATCATAGTAATAGAAATAAAATATTTCTTTTATATATATGATTTTTTGTGGGCTCATATTTTCTCAGCAGCCGGGTCAATAGTTCCTATACTCCAAATGCAGAATCTCGAACTTGGAACATAGAAGTAAAGCGAAAATTTCTAGATTAAGAAACTGTTCTAACGGCGTATTAGAATATAGGATGACATGGATCCAGGCGTGGCCTTCTCGACGATATTTCTACCATTGGTGTTGGCCATACTTGGTACTTGTATTTATCAACACAATCAGCTGGTTCTAATGTGCCCATCCTTCTACCCAAAATAATACCGAATATGGAGTTAAGACAGATTTTGTAACTTATTGGGGACGATTTGTTCAGTCCTCAACTTCACCTAACTATTCTATATAGTCTTTTTAGTGGTGTTATAAACTTTTGGACGAACCCAAATATTTTTCATAATAATTTATCATTATCTATAAAACCCTTCAAATATATTTAACGATAGATGCGCCTAAGTAATCCTAAATTATTATAACTAAGTATATACCTTACTAAATTTTACCACAAATTTTATTATTTTCATAAATATTATTATTTATTGTGCTAGCTACATTAAATTAAAAATAATTGACAGTTTTTTAATATTCAATATAAATGTAAATTAAAAACATAGAAATATTTTTCAGCCACAAGTTTTTCTCCATCAAAATTTGGCGCATTTTAATGGCGAACTGTGGAAGTGTGCAAATTTCCATTAACACGAACACGGCCCAACTAATGCAAAAGTGTGTATTGAAAAAAATATTGTAAAAAATAGAAGCCGCCATTTTTAATAATACTCCTCAGTTAACGACTTTTTTAAGTTTTTTTTTCTTTTTCTTTTTGCTTTTATTTCTTATCAAAGCAAGAAGGTGCATTTATGTGTTCTCCTTTCTTAACTTAACGTAAACTTAAACATGGCAGGCGTACGAAGTTCTTATCGTTCGAATCGTTGGGGCTCTTTTGATTTTAATGTTAACTCACAAGTGCGGTTTTGAACTGAAAAAAAATAATAAAATTATATATTTATACATACACTAATATGTATTTACTTATTTATATATGCGTATCTGTATATCAAGTTGAAATGCATAAAAAAATAAAATTTTTTTATAATATTTTATTTTATGCTTACATATTTTTAATATAAATTCTTTGAAAGCTATGCCCGCTGCTTTATTTAAATAAATATTTGCGATATTTGAAGAGTTAAAGTTTTTTTTACTCATATTAAAGAAAAGATGATTGTTTGTAAATACTCATATTTATTTATTATTTATATACATTTATTTATTTTTTATTTAATTCAAATGCTTTGATATTACTAAAGAATAGCAGTTTTAAACTTAAGTCATTTAAAATTACAAATAATATATAAAAAAAACCTTACTTAAAATATAAAAAAATTAATTTAAATTATAAAAAAATTTTAAAATATAATACGATTAAAATTATAATAAAAATGTATGTTGTAATTTAACGTCAAATTTTCTGACGGAAGTGACTATTATATTTAATAGAAACTAGTATATTTCATAAAAATATAAAAATTTATATTAAAACTAAATTAAATTTAAGCTTTCAATTAATTTTTATTTTTTTTTGAAAATAATAACTTAATTTCATATAAAACTAAAAACCTAAATAAAAATTTATTTAATTAATTTAAATTAGAACAAGAAAGAATAGATTGAAGAGGTAGAAAAAGAGAAAGCATGATAATAAAATGCGAGCAATTTAA